TACCAACTCATTGTTCTACAACGTATCAGTTGTATAAAGTCAACTCTAATCACAACCAATCACTCTGTACATCAACCTCCTCTGCTGAAATCACTAATCAGATATCAGATATGTCAATGTACATCAACCTTGTCAATTGTCAATTGTATGTACCCACTGTGCAGCTATGTCAATTGTATTCTCCTTGTTTCAGTTCTGTGTATCTATGTATATAGTCAATTGATAGCGTATATATTCTCCTTGTTAGTGTATGCACTACACTACACCAAAACTTCGCACTCATTGCAATGAAAAGTTGACTTTCCATAAAAGTTGGTTTCCCTTCATATCTACAACTTCTAAATGCCTCCCAAAGAAGTTTAAATGTCAGCAACACAAAAAGGCACAAGTCAATGACAACGATGCCATTCAACTATCTTCTACATAAATACTGAGTGACAGGTTGATTGATTATTTGGAAAGACACTAGCTCTAGGGCTGGCGATCGATGTAGATCATTGAAATCCATAATCGATTGTCAAGAAATATAGGAGAATTAACTTTGAGCACTTTGAGCAAAATGCTCCCAACAATCTGAAGAAATCCAGCCATTGCACATCACTGGCAAGTAGGGATATATTTAGACATGGATGACTGACAAAACAATGGCCTCAATATAAGTTAGAAACAGCCCTTCAGGGACCGTTCATAGTTTATGTATGATATTAACGATGACACAACATACACACACATAGATCATTATTTATATTTTGATCCATCAACAATATTTCCGATTATTGATGATTTCAGCCAGCCCTAACTACAACACAGATACGTCCATGCCAATCACAGTCAACCTTCACCCAGGCAGTAGGCATGTTATTTCATATTCATTGCAAGGCAAATCTTTCTGCACTAATGACTATGACTACACAATGACATTTAGAAAGTGGTCAAAAGTAACATATACTATATTTGGGAAGACACTTTCTCAGTAAAGAAAACTATCAGCAAGCACAGCCCCAACCCTGGTCTGAGCTACACTGTAATTACAATGGCTGTTGGAGCCTCACATTACTCTTCCAGTGACCTGCTGGAAATGATATATGTTTAAACACTTGATACTTGACAGGGTCGTAACTCAAATGAGACAGATAGTGTCACTCTTAGTGTGACATTGTTTACTGTATACTTGACTCAAGTGCTCACACTCTGACTACAAGCAATCCTTAACAGCTAATTATGCATATTAATCATTGTTTGATGGGCATTCTGTAGATATCAATGTATACTACCCATCAAAAGTTAAGACTCACAAGTGTAAATGTAGCCAATTACTTAAATCAGCTGTTCTAAACTAGATTTTACTAAATATTCCATCATGTTTAAAGGTAGTGTTTACACATGAACTGATGAATTGTAAAACATATTCGTAATATTGAAAAGATTCTTTTCAGGAGTTCAATACATCATGAAACTCAGTGAAAATTGGCGAATTCTTAACAAAACTTTACACCAAAACGCAGCTGTTCACATGCACGATATTTGCACATGGTTTTCAGAGGATTGATGCATGATCTTCGTGCAATTCATCTGCATAAGGTTTGCAGATGGTTCCCCTAAGTTAGTGGAGAAATTCATCTTCGATGTAACCATGTATATATATATATATATATACATACATATATGAGTGCTTTAAGTGAGTCTAAACTTTTTGATGGGGAGTATATATTTATGATGGGTATATTCTGTACATATCAATGTATATTTATGATGGGCATTCTGTACATATCAATGTATATTTATGCTTGTACATATGCATATTTCTGATGGGCATTCTGTATATTTCTATTCATCAATGTATATTCATGATGGGTATTCTGTACATATCAATGTATATTTATGATGGGCATTCTGTACATATCAATGTATATTTATGATGGGCATTCTGTACATATCAATGTATATTTCTGATGGGCATTCTGTACATATCAGTGTATATTTATGATGGACATTCTGTGCATATAAATGGATATTTATGATCCTGTAGTTGAACATACATCTGTGAGGCCCAACCAGTTATGATCCAGTGCTCGCTAACGACGGGCATTGCCCAATACCAGGCCTACCAAAGAAAATTTTCCCATTGTGCAGAAAAATGCTGAAAAGCCCACATTAATCGTGGAAATAGCAATATAAACATATTACCTCGCTACTGAAACAGCAAAAACAGCAATTTTAAATCGCTAAACCTGGATAAAAAAATGAAGAGCCTGCAACTTCGACTTTGAGCCTGCGCACATGGACGAGGAAGTCTCCACTGCATGTTGACATTTTCCAGCTTGGACAAAAGTTACATTCCCTTTTTAAAGTATTTCTGTTGTGGTATTTGGCATTTATCACCATGATACTTGTGTGCATACTTGTTTAGTTTACTTTTCATTCATATGAAATGATTGACAGCAATTATTTCGACATATTCAATACATTTTCTACGCAAGGCAATTCAAGGTTGCTCAGAAATTTGAAAGAAGCGCGGATCTTAACGTGCATGGGCAGTAGAGGTCAAAGTTCGTGGATATATTAAATGTTGCAGTTTCAGTTTTACTGTTTTACTGTTTCAGTAGCGAGGTAATATGCTTACGTTGCTATTTCTGCGATTTATGTGGGCTTTTCTGCGTTTTCTGCACAGTGGGAAAGATTTCTTTGGTACGCCTGAACCCATGATATTTTTAGCAGCGATCCACATGCTATGGGCGCCGCATTGATGATAGTCTGAACTCAACACTTGACAGATCCTCCAGCCATGTGATCCTTGGTCATCATTCGGTCACTCTTAGATATTTCAGCAATCGAGTCTCGGCCAGACAATCCATTGATCAACACTGTTAGCATAAAACCAGGACTAACATGCCGGAATGATTTCACAAACCATCCCACTTGCTCAAACCAACTTGTGTGGGGATTCCCCACCATCCGGAGGGCGTCGACCTCTGCTGAATATCTAAGATCACCTATTTTTTTTCAGAACTTTTTCACTACACCATATTGAATTTATAAAAATTACCAAATTCAATTTTTTCTTGCACCAAGGAACCAACAGTGCCAGGTCCCAAGAGACCGTGGGATTCCATGCTGGCAGGGTTGGAAGCTGCATCAGGGGTACACAAACAGGGCTGGAAGCTGCATCAGGGGTACACAAACAGGGCTGGAAGCTGCATCAGGGGTACACAAACAGGGCTGGAAGCTGCATCAAGGGTACACAAACAGGGCTGGAAGCCGCATCAGTGCGCTGGGTACACAAACAGGGCTGGAAGCTGCATCAAGGGGTACACAAACAGGGCTGGAAGCTGCATCAGGGGTACACAAACAGGGCTGGAAGCTGCATCAGGGTACACAAACAGGGCTGGAAGCTGCATCAGGGGTACACAAACAGGGCTGGAAGCTGCATCAGGGGTACACAAACAGGGCTGGAAGCTGCATCAAGGGTACACAAACAGGGCTGGAAGCTGCATCAGGGGTACACAAACAGGGCTGGAAGCTGCATCAGGGGTACACAAACAGGGCTGGAAGCTGCATCAGTGGTACACAAACAGGGCTGGCAGCTGCATCATCAGGGGTACACAAACAGGGCTGGAAGCTGCATCAGGGGTACACAAACAGGGCTGGAAGCTGCATCAAGGGTACACAAACAGGGCTGGAAGCTGCATCAAGGGTACACAAACAGGGCTGGAAGCTGCATCAGGGGTACACAAACAGGGCTGGAAGCTGCATCAAGGGTACAAAAACAGGGCTGGAAGCTGCATCAGGGTACACAAACAGGGTTGGAAGCTGCATCAAGGGTACCCAAACAGGGCTGGAAGCTGCATCAAGGGTACACAAACAGGGCTGGCAGCTGCATCTGGGGGTACACAAACAGGGCTGGAAGCTGCATCAGGGGTACACAAACAGGGTTGGAAGCTGCATCAGGGGTACACAAACAGGGTTGGAAGCTGCATCAAGGGTACCCAAACAGGGCTGGAAGCTGCATCAAGGGTACACAAACAGGGCTGGCAGCTGCATCTGGGGCTACACAAACAGGGCTGGCAGCTGCATCAGGGCTACTACACAAACAGGGTTGGAAGCTGCATCAGGGCTACACAAACAGGGCTGGAAGCTGCATCAGGGTACACAAACAGGGTTGGAAGCTGCATCAGGGTACACAAACAGGGCTGGCAGCTGCATCAGGGTACACAAACAGGGTTGGAAGCTGCATCAGGGGTACACAAACAGGGCTGGAAGCTGCATCAGGGGTACACAAACAGGGCTGGAAGCTGCATCAAGGGTACACAAACAGGGCTGGAAGCTGCATCAGGGGTACACAAACAGGGCTGGAAGCTGCATCAGGGGTACACAAACAGGGCTGGAAGCTGCATCAGGGTACACAAACAGGGCTGGAAGCTGCATCAGGGCCTACACAAACAGGGCTGGAAGCTGCATCAGGGGGTACACAAACAGGGCTGGAAGCTGCATCAAGGGTACACAAACAGGGCTGGAAGCTGCATCAGGGGTACACAAACAGGGCTGGAAGCTGCATCAGGGGTACACAAACAGGGCTGGAAGCTGCATCAGGGGTACACAAACAGGGTTGGAAGCTGCATCAGGGGTACACAAACAGGGCTGGAAGCTGCATCAGGGGTACACAAACAGGGCTGGAAGCTGCATCAAGGGTACACAAACAGGGCTGGAAGCTGCATCAGGGGTACACAAACAGGGCTGGAAGCTGCATCAAGGGTACACAAACAGGGCTGGAAGCTGCATCAGGGGTACACAAACAGGGCTGGAAGCTGCATCAGGGGTACACAAACAGGGCTGGAAGCTGCATCAAGGGTACACAAACAGGGCTGGAAGCTGCATCAGGGGTACACAAACAGGGCTGGAAGCTGCATCAGGGGTACACAAACAGGGCTGGAAGCTGCATCAGGGGTACACAAACAGGGCTGGAAGCTGCATCAAGGGTACACAAACAGGAAGAGACTTACCTTTGTTTCAGGTATTCTTCAAATTCTTTACACATATGGCGGCCATCTTTCATCCGCAGTGCTAGTGCCTCAAACCCAGCAGTACTGGTGAAGTGCGTGCCCTGGGAATATATAATAATAATGATAACAATAGTCCATTTATATAATGATAACAATAGTCATTTATCCATGCACATTGCATGCTCAAAGAGCTGTCAGGTGCTCAAGGTTCAAAATCAGACTACCATCGTATCATACCAGGTACCCAGTTTTACTGCTGGGTGGACAGAGGCAAGTCTGAACAAACTCAATTGCCTAAGGTGAGACCACATGTATCACGTATGCTTCATTGTGGGGTAGGACTGAAACTCTCAGGAGTCAAGCTGCCAAACACGGTCAACCATCCGAGGACTGTCCACAACCACCGTTGCTTAACCTGAACTCTACACACAGGTACACACACCGCCATAATATACACAGAGTCCATGGATAATAAGAAAAAAATTACAATACTGAAAGGAAATTTCAAACAACTCTTCATTCAGTATATGACACATGGAACTTAATAATTTCACAATACTGTGTTGGCTCCCAGCTGGAGATCTATCATGAGGATTTGTCCACGTCAACATACTACTCACTGTGTATGACAGATGGAACTATTTCACAATAATGTGTTGGCTCCCAGCCGGAGATCTATCATTAGGATTTGTCCACGTCAACATACTGCACACTGTGTATGACAGATGGAACTATTTCACAATAATGTGTTGGCTCCCAGCCGGAGATCTATCATGAGGATTTGTCCACGTCAACATACTACACACTGTGTATGACAGATGGAACTATTTCACAATAATGTGTTGGCTCCCAGCCGGAGATCTATCATGAGGATTTGTCCACGTCAACATACTACACACTGTGTATGACAGATGGAACTATTTCACAATAATTTGTTGGCTCCCAGCCGGGAGATCTATCATTAGGATTTGTCCACATCAACATACTGCACACTGTGTATGACAGATGGAACTATTTCACAATAATGTGTTGGCTCCCAGTGGGAGATCTATCGTTAGGATTTGTCCACGTCAACATACTACACACACTGTGTATGACAGATGGAGCTATTTCACAATAATGTGTTGGCTCCCAGCGGAGATCTATCATTAGGATTTGTCCACATCAACATATTGTACACTTTGTATGACAGATGGAGCTATTTCACAATAATGTGTAGGCTCCCAGCAGAGATCTATCATGAGGATTTGTCCACGTCAACATACTGCACACTGTGTATGACAGATGGAGCTATTTCACAATAATGTTGTTGGGTCCCAGCCGGAGAGATCTATCATTAGGATTTGTCCACGTCAACATATTGTACACTTTGTATGACAGATGGAGCTATTTCACAATAATGTGTAGGCTCCCAGCAGAGATCTATCATGAGGATTTGTCCACGTCAACATACTGTACACTTTGTATGACAGATGGAACTATTTCACAATACTGTGATGGCTCCCAGCAGGAGATCTATCGTTAGGATTTGTCCACATCAACATATTGTACACTTTGTATGACAGATGGAACTATTTCACAATAATGTGTTGGGTCCCAGCAGAGATCTATCATTAGGATTTGTCCACGTCAACATACTACACACTGTGTATGACAGATGGAACTATTTCACAATACTGTGATGGCTCCCAGCAGGAGATCTATCATTAGGGTTTGTCCACGTCAACATACCACACACTGTGTATGACAGATGGAACTATTTCACAATACTGTGATGGCTCCCAGCCGGAGATCTATCGTTAGGATTTGTCCACGTCAACATACACACACTGTGTATGAGAGATGGAACTATTTCACAATAATGTGTAGGCTCCCAGCAGGAGATCTATCGTTAGGATTTGTCCACATCAACATATTGTACACTTTGTATGACAGATGGAACTATTTCACAATAATGTGTTGGGTCCCAGCAGAGATCTATCATTAGGATTTGTCCACGTCAACATACTACACACTGTGTATGACAGATGGAACTATTTCACAATACTGTGATGGCTCCCAGCAGGAGATCTATCATTAGGATTTGTCCGATCAACATACCACACACTGTGTATGACAGATGGAACTATTTCACAATACTGTGTGATGGCTCCCAGCCGGAGATCTATCGTTAGGATTTGTCCACGTCAACATGCCACACACTGTGTATGACAGATGGAACTATTTCACAATACTGTGATGGCTCCCAGCAGGAGTTCTATCATTAGGATTTGTCCACATCAACATACTACACACTGTGTATGACAAGTGGAACTATTTTACAATAATGGGTTGGGTCCCAGCCGGAGATCTATCATTAGGATTTGTCCACGTCAACATACTACACACTGTGTATGACAGATGGAACTATTTCACAATAATGTGTTGGCTCCCAGCAGGAGATCTATCGTTAGGATTTGTCCACGTCAACATACTACACACTGTGTATGACAGATGGAACTATTTCACAATAATGTTTTGGTTTCCAGCGGAGATCTATCATTAGGATTTGTCCACATCAACATACTACACACTGTGTATGACAGATGGAGCTATTTCACAATAATGTGTTGGTTTCCAGCGGAGATCTATCATTAGGATTTGTCCACGTCAACATACTACACACTGTGTATTACAGGTGTAGCTATTTCACAATAATGTGTTGGCTCCCAGTAGGAGATCTATCGTTAGGATTTGTCCACATCAACATACTACACACTGTGTATGACAGATGGAACTATTTCACAATAATGTGTTGGTTTCCAGATGGGAGATCTATCATTAGGATTTGTCCACATCAACATACTGCACACTGTGTATGACAGATGGAACTATTTCACAATACTGTGATGGCTCCCAGAAGGAGTTCTATCATTAGGATTTGTCCACGTCAACATACTGCACACTGTGTATGACAGATGGAGCTATTTCACAATAATGTGTTGGCTCCTAGCCGGAGATCTATCATGAGGATTTGTCCACGTCAACATACTACACACTGTGTATGACAGATGGAGCTATTTCACAATAATGTGTTGGCTCCTAGCCGGGAGATCTATCGTTAGGATTTGTCCACGCCAACATACTACACACTGTGTATGACAGATGGAGCTATTTCACAATAATGTGTTTGGCACCCAGCGGAGATCTATCATTAGGAATTGTCCACATGAACATACTGCACACTGTGTATGACAGATGGAACTATTTCACAATAATGTGTTGGGTTCCAGCGGAGATCTATCATTAGGATTTGTCCACGTCAATATACTGCACACTGTGTATGACAGATGGAACTATTTCACAATAATGTGTTGGCTCCCAGCCGGAGATCTATCATTAGGATTTGTCCACATCAACATACTGCACACTGTGTATGACAGATGGAACTATTTCACAATAATGTGTTGGCTCCCAGCGGGAGATCTATCATTAGGATTTGTCCACATCAACATACTGCACACTGTGTATGCAACTTTATACATCATCTATGTAGTCAAAATCACAATGAAGAATTAACACTGAAGCTCACGGGAAACTGTTGAAATGTCTGTGGGATTCATGTGAAAGAAAGGTCTGCTGACTGAAAGGAAGGTCTGCTGACTGAAAGAAAGGTCTGCTGACTGAAAGGAAGGTCTGCTGACTGAAAGAAAGGTCTGCTGACTGAAAGAAAGGTCTGCTGACTGATGATGATGAGAAGGACGGATGATCTGGTCAATGTACAGGACCAAGCATTTTGATACTAATTTGAAGGATCAAGTTAGGGCACTGGCTTATCCAGGTTGGCTTATCAAGATTCATATATGCAGTACAGAAGCTAAGCCAGGTAGAAATAGGTTTGTTCAACACCTACTACATAAAAAAGGTGTGACTGTCCTGTTTGGTCCAGGAAAGCCTGTTGAGCAAGGTAATCTAAATCCCAAACAGAGGTGGTCTAATGGAAGGCTTCATTGTACAAACTACATTCAGTGATACATTTAATGAAGTTATGTGAATTTCTCTTAAAGCACATCAACGCCCCCTTGAGCATGTGTGGTCGTGTGAGATACCAAGGGAGGTAACTCATCTATACATATTTCCATCTAACAAAGTTGAACTTAGACTACCATCTGAAACAAAATGTCAGCCCAACAAATTACACCTCTGTCATACACTATGACACTTGGTCAGAAAATCATTACCACCAAAAAAATTCTTCCTACATGAAATTTAGTAGCAGTAAATTAATACATCTAAACGATGACCTATTTTGGGGTAGTTCTTACAACTATGTACTAGTACCTCAATGACTGTTGCTGATGTCCCTATTATGAACAACGTATCAATAACTCTAGACAACTGAAACTCTTCATTGGGGCCAGAACTGTAATTGCTTGTTTTGTGTAAGCACATTGTTCGAAAAACTGATTCCGCAATAAATTGAGGATTTCCACCTGAAACTGATGGGTACTGTTGAGGTCTTCCTTCCCCTTCGGAGATGAGATAAACGAGGTTGTGAAACTAAGTATTGAAGTTCCCTCATTTCAATTGTACAGTCTCCAACACCCTCATGATTTCAGAGATAAACAATTGACTTTGTTGCCCTTGTATGTGTTTGTGATGGAACAACCATGTGGCAGGATAATTGACTTCCCTCAACACCATCCCATCAACACCTTCCCTTCAACATCATCCCTCTACATCATCCCTTCAACACCATCCCCTCTACATCATCCCTTCAACATCATCCCTCAACATCATCCCTCTAAAACCATCCCCTCAACATCATCCCTTCAACATCATCCCTTCAACACCATCCCCTTAAAAACATCATTCCTTCCACACCATCCTCTACATCATCCCCTCAAAACCATCCTCTCAACATCATCCCTCTACATCATCCCTCAACACCATTTCTCAACACCATCCGTTCAACACCATCCACTCCACATCATCCCTCTCCACACCATCCTCTCAGCACCATCCCTCAACACCATCCATCCTACACCATCCTCTCAACACCATCCCTCTACACTAATTCCCTTAAACACCATCCCTCTACATCATCCTCTCAACATCATCC